ACCTGTGACAATCCACCAGTCAAATTCATGGCAGCACTGAGCACCCAGGAGATGCTATGTAGACAGTTCAGCGTAGAACAATGCACATTTGTGAATTTCTACATATAACAGAGGCATTGCATCTTGCTCTGACCTGTCCTTAAATCTAGTTCTGGCATGTGCTAGGTTGCCAAATCTAGCCCAAGGGCTTCTCATCTAAGACTGAGGCAATGGAGACAGCACCATGTATGCCATGGTGGTTAAACCAGAAGAAGAAGAGCATGGTCCACTAGGCATGGACCATAGCCTGGAGCAAGCAGAGAAAGGGTGGCCTTAGCCACTTGGTGTGTCCTGGAGTAGATGCCAAAGAGGAGCAAGTATGATGACATGCGTCATCAAAAGGCTACAAAAGAACAAACTCAGGAGTGGAATAAAGCTTTCTTGCCCCTGAAAAAATAGGATAAGGCTCAATTGAGAGACCTCTTACTTATGCTAGCAATGACAAGGTCAAAGAAAGGGTCAGGTCAAGGCCTTGCCATGCTCCACCTGCTGGCGTCCAGGAATGGATGCATCTGCCAATTCCTTTCCCCATTCAACACTCTCTCCTCAAGGTGAGCCTGAGATCCCCACATCAGACACATATGGAGAAGAGGAAAGAGAACTGGAATGTGGATTTGAGCAGATCTTCATTTGAAGAGATTGCGAAACTAGCCAAAGGCAATGGAATGGTGTCCAACATCAAACACTTAAGCCACAGATCAGCACTACAGCAAAACATGATAGTCTCAACACCTCCAGGTCTCACCAACTGTCGCCCGACCTCAACCCAAACCCAGATCTCTTCTCAGGACAGGCCTTACTCCTCTAGTTGTCCCTGACTACTCATTCTCCAATGTCTTACATGCCACAGGGCAGGAAGGTCACAGGACCATCCTGTGACCTCCTAATCTACTCTCCTTATGGATTAACCCACCTCACCTTTCCAATTCCCCTTCCTGACCAAATATCAACATCTGCTTCACAAGCTTGTACTAACTCATCATTCCTTCTTCTAGTGGGTGATACCATCTAAGCGAGAGGGCAAAAGGTGAGTTAGATGCCATCTTAACCTAATATTATTCACCTTCAGATGGCTACAAAGTCCTCTGGTAGATTCCCATACACCCCTGAACTGCCTTATCCCTCAGTTCCTGATTGCTGTAGTCCAGATCCTGTGAATCCCATGCTGAAGCCAGGATGCAATGAACTCAGAATGAAGGCACCGTGTCCTCTTCCAGACCAAGGACATCTTACTCCCGAGGTCCTGCAGACTCAATATCCCAGCAGATAAAAAACTAAATAGATGTCATGTGAGCCAAGAATTCTTCAGGATCCACAATTACCTAAATCAGTGTTTTTAAGTACTCAACTACTTCAACTGAGTCTGACATATATGCCTATGAAAAATGGAGAGAGAATACCAGTTATCGGTGTTACTTAAGTTCCTGCCCAAGTGGCAAATCATTTATAAAATAACCATAGACTTAAGTGTTATTAAATGCTCTGGCTTCAACTTACACAAACAATAAGAGAGCTGAGTTTTGGTAGCAGCTTCCCACATGCCATAACATGTGCGGAATGAAATCTGAAGTGTATCTGCTCTAGAATTATCATGTTGAGCAATTGTGTGCAAAACTCTAACACCAACATTGCTGGGCTGAGTCAAAGTTTCAGGTTGAAAAATGCTAATTCTGATGATATTATTTTCCGGATCCGACCTATAGGAAGAAATATGCAATTGGATATCCCAGAAAATGATCCAAAGAGCTTCTAAAGACAAACTGTGGTATGGAGGCTCCCCTGACACAAGAGCCAACACAATGGCATGTCTTCCATGGTGCATAAAGATGGGGCTACCGGGCTTCATGGAGAAGCCATTCTAGAAAGCAGGAGATGGAGAAACAGTAGTCTTGTGTAGTGTCTATTGGAGGATTTATAACAGAAAAGAACAAGCCTTGTGCTAAAAACAGTTACTGATTAACCAAAATCTCTGACTTTTGAAAAGAGCAATCAATAAAGACTTAACTATTGACCACTTTAAAGTTTTCCATTGGAAGCTAGCAATGCCAGATTAATGTCACCAGATTGCCCCTTAAAAGTGAAGTGTTTAGCCAGCCAAGCCCAGCTCATTAGTTGCGTTTCATGCACAATGTCAAGGAAAAAAAATGACTAATGGTCTCTGTGGGAAGCAGCTTCATTAACTTTCTGGCATTGTTTATAGACAAACAAAGACAGGGCAAATTTTGGAGAGTCCGTGTTATTACTCCTTGATTTAGAAAGTAAATATTTCAGAATCATTTCAATTCAAAAAGGACACAAGTCTAAAGCACTCTGATTCAAAGGAATCATCAAAGGACCAAGTCCCAGGTATTAAATCAAAGTAAAGCAAGTATAACAGAAAAAAAAACAAAAAACAAAAAACAAAGCATCATGGGAAAAAAGACCACTAAGCAGACCTTCAAATCTAAGAGGAAAAACAAGGATATTTACCATTCTGCTGTCTAGACCACTTAAGTGGTTTCTCAAGACTGCCTTAGATTTCACCACATCTCAAGCACAACCAATTACTGCTCACTCCCACACAGATGACAAAATCCTATGACATAGTGAAACAAACAAACAAAATATCTCTCTTCTGAAATCCATACATCTTTAAAGTAATTCACACTGCATCCAGTTCACCAGAATCTTCCCTTGTCCACTGTAAAGCCATTTGTGGCATTCAGTGGTTCCTGCTCTTCTGGGATGTGAAGTATGGTCAAATACACACGTTTGACATCACATCCTTCATTCTAATGCTCAGGTAGAAGGGAACAGACACAGCTACAAGGTTGTGGCTGCGGATGGCCCCAGGACTCTCCCTTGCCACCTTCGTGTGTCTTTCGTCTTTGAAGCCCTGACCTTCTTAAGTCATTCTGCATCAGCCCCAACTCTGAAGAACAGGCAGTGGGCACCAGAGCGCTGAGCAGTGTGCCTGTCCCTCACCTCACATAGCTGCCCCTGGGAACTGGTGTTTGTTGCCAACTGCATCTCAGATAACTACTTAGAAGAAGAGAAATAAAAAGTGAAATATTTTGCAGTTGGTACCTTTTCCTTTCAACCCTAGCCGCACATTATTCTACTTTCATCTTAGAAGAAAGAAAGAAAAAAAGAAATAGAAAAAAAATGAACAGAGAAAGAAGGTAAGGAAGAGAAGGGCAATACGGAGCCCTGGTTAAACCTTATGGAGTCTGGTAGACCTGTGTGGTTCTGCAGCTTAACAACCTGGTGGTAGATCTTGCCCAATCTGTTTGAATTTCTGTTTTCTCATTTGTCAAATGGGACTGGTGATACCTGCCTGAGCTGCTGCAAATAATAAAAGATAGATGTGCCAAGTGCTTACTTAGCATCACAGAGTTGTCCTTAAAAAGGAGGGAGGCCAAGGAGGTTTTCAGAATGAACATGTCCAGGATTCAAAAAGAAGAAAGAAATCACTGGGGACTGGTACTTTCTTTTTTCTATTAACCAACCTGGAAATTGTTCCTGGTTGCCTGTTGCACAATTAGCAAATGCATTTCATTTAACAATGAATGTACCCCAATCCTTCCTTTTCTTGAGTCTCAAGGTACACACGAGCCTGCTCAGGAAGGAGAAATCACACAGGAAATAACTTATGTTGCCACATATCTGCATGTAGTACACAATGCAGGTGTAGCAGCAATTTGGAGTAGGGATTGATGCGGGATTGGAAGAGGCATTGTCAAATGCACAGAAAGCAAACGCTCCACGGCTGAGTTTTTCCTTGAAATATCAGAAAGATGAGAAAAGGAGCTGACTGAAGGCGAAAGGATGGCACCTGTGCTGGCTAGTTTTATGTCAACTTGTCACAAGGTGGAGTCATGTGGGAAGAGGAGACCTCAGCTGAGAAAATGCCCCCATGAGCTTGGCCTGTAGGTAAAGTCTGCCATGCGTTTCCTTCATTGATGACTGATGTGTGAGAGCCCAAGTCACTGTGGGCAGTGCTACTTCGGCATTGGTGACCTCAGGCATGGTGAGGAAACAGGCTGAGCAAGCTACAGAGAGAAAGTCAGTAAGAAGTGCCCTCCATGGCCTCTGCATCAGCTCCTGCCTCCAAGTTCCTGCCTGGAGTTCCTGCCCTGACTTCCCTGGATGATGAACTTGAACTATAAGATGAAATAAATAACCCTCTCCTCCCCAAGTCATTTTGGTCATAGTGTCATAGTGGTCACAGCAATACAAACTGTAACAAGAAAGCATCCCTGTCTGGGAAGATGGGCAAAAACAGCAAGCACACACAGGAGTAAAGGGACTGGACTTGAATGGAGAAAACAGAAAGGTTGTCTGTCTGTCTGTCTGTCTGTCTGTCTCTCTCTCTCTCTCTCTCTCTCACACACACACACACACTTTTCAGATTTTTCATTCCTATTTAATAGGCATAGAGGAGTGTTTTACAGTCCTGGTATTACTTAGGGGACAATAAACCACATTTTTCTGTTTGACCCAGTTTGAGTTTGTTACTACCATTCAATAATGGGACTGTGTGGGGCAGGAAATGGGGGGCCAGGTGTTGCAAATGTGGGCTCCACTGGGTGACTATCTGGCTCTGCCACCCCTAGCTGTGTGACCTTAAGCAAATGACCTAACCTTCCAAGCCTCTCTTTCCTTACAAGCAGAAGAGGAAGTAAGTGTAAATCCCCCTGTAGCAGATGGCGGGGAGGGGTGGTCATACATTTAATAAATTCCCTAATTGAGACGCACTTAGTAAGTACATAGTGTGTTGGAAGAAATCCATGTCTGCTACCGGTAATTGTTACTGTTTATGTCTGCTCTCTTTAACTGAGACACAGCCACACAAAGTGCAAACAACCACCTCACACACGGCACAGGAAGGGACCGACGTGATACCATCTTACTATAACAAAATCTTCCAAAAGTACTGGCAGCCATGCTGAGCCCCATCCGAAACGAGACATGACCCGCACCTGGCTTGGTGGATGGCTTCCATCCACTCTTTCCCGGCCTGCTCCTCCTCACAGCGCAGCTCCAGAGGTTTCTGGCCTTCATGCCCAAAAAGAACAGTGAAGTAATACTGAAAAGAAAAAGAAACACAAAAGGTTTATGGGTTTATTTTTCAAGAGTAAAAATGTAACACAGTATTTGCCTACGAGATGTATAAACTCACAAAATCTACCAGCACAATGTAAATCATATTTCAAAATGTAATATCATGCCTGGACAGGCCCGAAATGTCTTTGCACCTTGGCGGTAATATACAGAGCATCTTAACAGCCCTGAGTAGCACTCAGCCCACAGCCCTACTACACTGCATACTTTTATATAAGAACAAAAAGAACATTGTAGCAATTTGCCGATGAAGATAAAAAGTAAAAGCTAACATGGAAACAGTTCCAGAAGTTTTCTTTATGCAGGGTGTGATACAGGAGTAGAGAACAGGAGTCTACTCCGCTGAACCCGCTGATTCTGAAACCTAACCTATTCTATCTCCGGGCTCCCTTCTGGGAAGAGCTATGTCTATAACTGTGTCTAATTGCTGCTATTGCCACTCCTGCAGCCTTAGCAAGCGCCATCGGTGGCTTAAGCCCCTGTGTGACAGACAAATTATATTTATCATGGACAGGAAATAGAATTGCCATCTTGGAGGTAAGTCATAATTGGAACTCCTTTTTGATGAGTGTAATCTAATTTCTTGTTGGATAGAAGACAAAAGAAAGAAATGATTTATCAGGAGTAAAATTATTTATCCCATCTGAACTTTATATATAATCACCCCAAACTGGAAACAATGCAAATATCCTCTAGTCAGCGAGTAGATAGTCAAATTCTGGTGCATTTTCCTGACGGAATACTACTCATTAGTAAAAAGGAACAATTCTTGAGAAAGCCAAGAACTTGACTGCCTCTCAAAAGTACCAAGCAAAGTTAAAAAGTCAGCCTCAAAAGACTACATTCCAGAGGGCTTTAGAGCCAACCCAGTGATTAAGATCCTTCACTGTTCTTCCAGAGGATCTGATTATCTTCCCAGCACCCACGCCAAGAAGCTCTAAACTGCCTGTAACTAACTGTTCCAGGGAATATACCACCCTCTTCTGGCCTCTGGGGGCACCCACACATGTGCCCACATGCACACACACTTAAATAAAAAGAAATATTTGTGAAAGTTTCATACTCTATAATTTCCTTTATGTGATACAATTGAAAAGTAGCAGAAAACAAATCAGTTGTTTTTTGGAAGTGTGTGCCTATAAAGGAACAACACAAGGGCTTTTGAAGGGTCCTCTCCTTCATCCTCTATAGCCTCTCAAAACCCCAAGATCATTGACCTATGGGTTATAGATCAGTGTGTCATTAGGAGTCATTTTATTGCTATGTCCCTTTATCAGAATAACAGTATAGGTTTCCCCTAGGCCCGTGATCTATGTAATCTCAGGTTCTTCGCTACTTCAGCCGTATCAGGTACAGGTTTCATCTCATGGAGTTGTCCTTACATCCAATAGAAAGTTGGTTGGTTACTCTCCTGACATTTGTGCCACTATTACACAAGTACATCTTGCAGACAGGTCAGTGTTGTATGTTGCAGGATTTGTAGATGGGCGTTATTGATGATTACCATTTTCTCCAGGAGCAGATGTAGTACCTTCCAGCGCCATGAATGCTAGTCAGCAGGGATAAAGCCTCTAGCAGAGCACCAGCTCGACTTCTCAGTATTCAATAACATAAGTAAATGTATTGTGCTGGCTGATTTTATGTCAGTTTGACACAGGCTAGAGTCATCAGAGAGGAGGGAGACTCAGTTGAGAAAATGTCTCTGTAAGATCCAGCTGTAGGCAAGACCCTAGAATGTTTTCTTTATTGGTGATTGATGGGGGAAGGCTCAGCCCATTGTAGGTGGTGCCATTCCTGGGCTGTGGTCCTGAGTTCTATAAGAAAGCAGGCTGAGCAAGCCATGAGGAGCAAGCGAGTAAGCAGCTCCCCTCCATGGCCTCTGCATCAGCTCCTGCCTCCAGGTTCCTGTCCTGTTTGAGTTCCTTTCCTGACTCCCTCTGATGATAAAGAGAGACCTAGAAATATAAGCAAAATAAACCCTTTCATCTCCAACTTGCTTTTTGGTCCTGGTGTTTCATCAAAGCTATAGAAAACCTAACTAAGATCTACATTCAGCAATAGAGCCTTACCATCAACTTGTGGAGAGTAATCAATAGCCTTGGCAATTGTGTCTTCCAGATACTACAGAATTGATGATGTAAGAATTTCCAGAGACTGTGGAAGTATGCATAGGAGCTGCATGGGCTAAAGGGTCCCAGCACTGAGAAGGGAAAGTGAACACAGTCTGACCCCTAGCCAAGATGCCATTTGCTATCGATACTCCTGGAAAAAAGAGAATCAGTTTTCTCTAATAGGATGTCACTGGTACGTCAACCACATTCATGGGCAGGCCTCATGCCCAGGAGTAGTTGACCAACACAAAACTAACTCTGTGTGCTGGTTTTTTTTTTTTTGGGGGGGGGGCGGCATTTTTGTTTCATTTTGATTTGGTTTAGCATGTTTTGTCTTATTAGGGGGTTTTGTTTGTTTTGATTTTCATTTTAGGGGTTTGTTTGTTTGAGACAGTGACCATGAAGTTTGGTGGGTAGAGAGGTGGAGAGTATTTGGGAGGAGTTGGAAGATGGGAAGAACATGATCAATATCTGTTGTACAAAAAGGTTTTGTTTTGTTTTCTAAATTAAAAATAAATAAATAAATCCCAGCCCAGAGCTGGTGCATTAGTGAGCAGGTCAAATTCCCCTTCCTGTGGCGATGTCACCAATGCTGCTGACGTAGGTTGTAAGCCCCTCCCACAGAGCTCTTCCCTCTAACTTTCTCTGCAATCTCAACTACTGCAGATCAGAAACAATGTATGTTGCCCTGGGAGACACACGTGCGTGCGCGCGCACACTCACACACACACCGCCCCGTGTCTCTGCCCCCCCAAGTCCATGTTCCAGCTCTAGCCTGAATCTTATCTCAGTACACACACACACACACACACACACACACACACACACACACACACACACACACACACCCCGTGTCTCTGCCCACGCCCCCAGTCCATGTTCCAGGCTCTAGCCTATCTCAGTCCCTTCTTCAAACGCTGCCCAGGATCTGCCCTCCATTGTCCAAGTCCTGGCTGCCCGGCCTGTGGTGGAGTTTACAGGCCTGGTGCTTTGGATCTGGCACAGCAGAAAGTATTTTTTATTCTTTTTAACTATCAACGTTTTTTGTCGCTACCTACACCATCTTAACTTATAGTTCACTGATGTTTACAAAAGAAGCAGACAAATTATACGGCTGTGATTTCAAATGTATGAACACTCTGCACTCTCCTAAGGGTAACTCCCAAAACAAACGACATCCATGCTTCTAAAAAGGGCCCCTGAGAGAGAGGGGAAGTAGATGAACGGTTTATCATCACAAGGCAGAGAAGGCTCCCATCTTGTACATATGGGGAATATTCATTACGGTGTGTGTTATTATTAGCCTAGTTCACACGAGGATTCGCTCTCTGTGCTGTACACTGGGTTTTGACAAATGTATCCTACTGCCCGGTCACTATTCCTGGGTTTTCTTTTGAGCAATGAAAATGATCTGGTAGTAGATAGGGCTGATGGTTTCACAGCCTTGTGAATAAATTCCAAACAACTGAGTTGTGCCCTGTAAAAACAGCCTTGGTCGGGGTAGGATTTCTGTCTCAATTTGTTTTTAAGTGTGAAAAGTAACAGCAAGAACAAAGGATGCTCACACCCAGCTGCAGCTGCTCTGCCTCACCAGTTTCTAGTAACTCTCATCTATTCACAACATCATTTCCCAATATTGTCCAGCTGGAACGAGCTGGTTTGCTTTTTGATGGGTCCTTTACTGACAATTATTGATTGTCAGTGATAAGACCTTGAAGGACAGAGAAGTTACATCAGTCCGCCCTCTTAAAACTGGTCGTCAAGCCCTTGAACAAACCCAGCCTCTCAAACTGTTCTCCTCCCTGCAATGCTTACTCCTGACCTGGATTCCTGCTCACACCGGCCCTGCTGCCAATCCTGCCCGCCGTGGCAGCTGCTGTGGGCATGCGTCTGCCATTCTCGTCAAGCCTTCTCTCCCCCCTTCACCCCTGTGCTTCCTGCTACTTGTTTCTCTTATATCGGCGTGCACATCTGGGGTAGAGAGTAGAATGGGCACAGTTGGGGCTCCGAGTTACAAGGTAGACATCGAACCTTCTAAATACGTAGAAAGAAACCCAAGCTTGGACCTTTGCCAGGGACTGAGGAGGAGACCAAAAGCCCACTGTGGATGAGGAAGCCAGAGGAATGGTTCAGTGGTTATGATGACCTACTCCTCTTGTAGAGGTCCTGAGTTAAGTTCTCAGGAAGGACCTTGGGTAGCTAGCTCCAGAGGCTATGATGCTTCTGATCTCTGTGGGCAACTGTACTCACATGCACACACATACACAGAGATAACTAAAACATGAAAGTAAATATTAAAAAAAGAAAGCCCTCTCTGCAGGCACATTGGAGAGCAGTTTGAAGCCCTTATAAGACCACCAGGAAAACTAAAGAAGAAAAAAATGTATCTCTTCAATGACCAGGAGACAGAATATCAGTCTAAGCATAAGAAAGAACAGAAGGATGGAAGGGACAGAGGGTGGGAGAAGGGGGGAGGGGGGAGGGAGAGGGGAAGGCTATTTAACCAGATAGGGAAACCAGCTTGGAGGGGCAGAGACCTCCAACTCCAACTCCTGCGAGACGGTGAAATGCTTCCAAAGCCTTCCCGCGACAGAACCGTGGCTGCAAGCGACAGTTGCCGTCCATATTTTGAACACGAGTTATGTAACAATGGCTTCCCAATATTCCTGGGTGTGATGATGTGGTGTCTTTATTTTAGGTTCAGCTGCTGCCTCAAGACAACAAGCAGAAACCAAAGCCCATGTGGCCAAGTGAGGCTTGGAACTGTCTGTCCTACTCAGAAAGGAGGCAACCAAGAGTCAGCCGTGACCGTGACCCTTGTTCGCTTAAGGTCATAGAGGGGTTACACAGGAAG